ATCTTTACATGGTTAACTTGTTTACTTTGATTCAGTCTTTGCTTCTTTGACTCTTTACTTCCTTCATTGTTTCATTGCTTCTTTCATTGTTTGCGTACATGCTTAACTTGCTTACTACTTGACTCCTTTCTTTACTTCTTACCTCTTTTGTTCTTTCATTGCCTGCTTCTTTACTAAATGTTTGGGTATGTTCGATTCATCATCTTGATGTTTTTTATTTTGTCACATACTCACATTAAGCATGTGAGTTCGGCTGCAAAATGAGTTGCACTCACATCAAGCTTAAATTTATATGATAATACAACGTAAAAGAGATATATTATAGAATATATTCACATATGCTTGCTTAGTGGTCAAGTAGTGACTGTATTTCACTTGAATCGAATATGATTAATTACTACATTTGCAAAGATGGTAATATATGCATCTCAAATCAAGTAAAGATTAGTTAACATCTTAAACTTTCTCGGTTAACATTACAAATTTTCATGAGCTTTCAAAGTTAAGACAATGCATACATAGATGGAGAGATGAATTTAACAAACTTAATATATATATTAAACCTCGAGATGTCCAATAAATAATTGATCCATATGCACTTTATGTTAAATGCAGCTGGAGTTACCAATCCTGCATTTGAACTATAACATCCTTTCAATTCAATGCTTCCTTGCTTCCTGCGTTTTCTTCATTTCTGCGTTTATGTATTACATCATAAAGAAAACTCTTTCAGCTTTAAATTACAGAAATCACCAAGGAAAATGAATTTAGAAAAAGCACCATAGGATCCACCATGAACTTCAAGAATGTCGATATGTCACAGCAACTCAAACACAAAATTAGATTCTCTAAAATTGTGCCTTTTCTCCGTTTGTCAAATATGAATCGAAGAAATATAAAATCAATTTGGACCAAAGGACATAGAGGGAAAGAGATATGGTCAATTGGATCTATCCATGAGTTCCTCCATTTTGATCTAACATTTGGATCTAGTTCGCATCAACGGTCTTCTCATCTTCTCGAACGGCAATTTAATCTTCAATTCACCGCTAGTGAACCTGAATAAAATCAAACGCTGAAGCGACTTGGGGTTCAGCATAATATTTAGAGTAAGGTTCGAAATTAGACTAATCTGAGAGAGAATTTGGCAGAAGCTTGAAAATCCAAAAGGGGACGTTCTAATCACAGAGCAAACCAACACTTGAATCGTAGTGAACACTACAGATAAGGAAGAAGAAGAGTTTGATATCAGTTTCAAAATATATAGACCAAAGATACATGAAAAAATCGACTTTTGGTCAGAACAACCCAAACCCAAGACATGAAACTGAGAATTTGAGATTTTCCTCTGAAATGTACACAACAAACTCTGATGAAATAAGTCGTCTGATTCATGTTTTGCTATAGATTTGAGTGGCGTGTAGTGGAGGGACGTGGTTCAATATATAGGATTGGCTGGTTGTGCCAATGATGGTGCCATAACACCGAGATCGTGAGGTTAGGCGTTAAGAGGGTTAGAAGTAGGATATAATTGATGGATTGGAACTGAAGTAATTGTCAGGGAGATGAATCGTGAGATCTGTTTCAATGCTTTCTAATGGTAAATTCAGAAGTCGGAAGGGATTTGGTTGAGATTAGGGTTCTGTCAAAGGTTGCAGAGATATCGAAGAAGGAAAAGATTTGCCTATTTCAGAACCAAAAACGTTATATTGGGTGGGTTTTTTTTTTCAAATCCAACTTCTCAAACGTAATATTCAACTTCTAATATTGGGCTGGGCCTAATGCTTACAGGTTTTGGTCTCAGTAACATAATATCTGAATTTACCTAACAAAAACCAAAAAATGTATCTGACATTTCTTCTGTAATCCATCTGATTGGTGGATTATATCTCCTAATATTTTTGCTGACGTGGAGCGTCTGAGAGGCCTCAAAATCTTCTCCTTTTATATAAAAGAGATTTAGTGACATGCAACATGCAACAGTGATTTACCATCACTACTTGAATATTTTATTACTATCCTCTAAAAAATATGAAAAGTTTCCTATTAAAGCAAAAAATGAGCTTTCTTCTCCGCTCCATCGTACTTTATTCCTCATTTCCAGCTTTCTTAACA